AGGGTTAATGGCTGACAGGTTCGTAACTACATTGCTGCGTTTCTCATGGCTGGTGGAGTTGGAATTATAGAATCTCTCATTTCATTTCTTCTTCTTTGCTTGGCTCGAGAATCAGGTATTTCAAACTGACGAGGCAATGGCTGATACCGTGAATAAGGATGCCTCCTGCAGCAAAGCTAGCGTAGGAGTTGAAAATGAACTGATAGTACCCTGTGAGCTGTCAGATGAAGAGGACGAGCCGATCATACCTCATCTTTCAAGTTGCGCAGTTGTCTTTCATTGTTCATAATTTGCAAAAACTACGGTCTCGTTCCCAAAGCAAGGAACTCTGTAAATGCCTGGCATTTAAGTCTAGTTGATTAATTGATCATGACATTCATTTTTATACGATACATATTGTCCGGATGTAATAAGAGAAAGAAAACTGAAGTATACTTCACGTTAATATGAATAAAAACTCGCTTAAAATGTACAGGATGAAGGCTTGTGATTGTGCGAGGATAGACCAATGAATGGTCTCAAGTTTGGGTCACTGACAGGCCAGGCGCGAACGGCGAATCTGTAAAGCACGGGAAATGCGAGAATGCACAAACACAGGCCATAAAGCAGCAGAAGAAATCGCTTAAACCAACTAATAGCTAATAAGAAGATGGGACGTAGGGGCCTATTAGAAACCGAAAAACCGCGCAAAAAATCGCCGAAAACCGCAAAACCGCAAGAAATTTCGTCCAAAACCGAAAACCGAAATAAAAGCCCTCACTAACAAAACTTTGGCAGTCTTCAGAATCTCTCTTTCTGTTATTTAATTTTTATACGTCTAAACTTGTTTTACTTTCCGAAGTTCTTTTTGCGTATTCCCTCGTTAGTACAGAACACATCGTAGTCTAAAAAGCTCCTTTTTTGTATAAATCGGCTCCACAGACCTATAGCAATGTGAAACTAGAAACAAATTGCACGATAAAATGATTTTAGTTGATTTTTGTTTAAAAGAAACACCACATTCTGAAGTTTTTTTTTTTTGATTGCCGTTGTCAGGATTTTCAATAGTGTAGGCGCAATGGCGCCCCATTTTAAAACCAAACTACTTTATTTTACGACCAAACAGTTTCTCCATTGCTCTTATTCCACGTGAACAGAGCGAGTGAGCGCAATGTTATTCTCGCGAAGAAACCGGGAGACAACTCGCAATTGAGCCATAGAAACTCGATGGTCCGTAGTCTAAGGTCAAAGTCCCCAAGATATTATCCCAGCCGCGTGACATTTGAAAAAAAGTCTTTTGCTCTGATGTTATCTTTAGCTTTTCATAGTCTGCTCGGCAGTCGTTACGACCCAAATAACGGCTGTTAAAGAGAATAGGCTTTTCATGCATTTCTCTAACTGTAAGTGGTCCCTTGGAATACAGTTTTAGCGCGACTGCGGGTTGTAACTTCCTTGGCAAAAGCAGAAAAACCGTAAAATGCATTGGGCAGAAAAATCCGAAAAACCGCCATCATTGTTGACAAAAACCGAAAACCAAAGACCAAATTGGAGAAAACTCGCAAACCGCACAAGACACCGGCCAAAACCGAAAAACCGAACCAAAAATTAGCCACATTCGCGAAACCAAAAATCCCAACGCCCCCTTCAATAAGCAACGACAAGTTGTCTTTTGAACCAAGAGTTTTATTATTCTTGCAGTAAAATTACTGTAAAAAATAAAAGAGAAGAATTAACAGAATTCGTTCTACTTAAACTGGTGGACATTCAAAAAGATTTTCACTTTTACCGAGACATTCCAGTTGAAATTCAGCTAAACGTTGTACATAAGAAAAAGCTATAAAAAAAAACAGCGTTCGAAATTCCTACGTCCTTTTATAAAAAAAAATATCATTTGTCGCTCATTTAAAATGAAGCTTAAACATACGTCCTATACGTTGCTTGGCAACGAAAGCTAAGATATGCTATAACAGTTCAGTCACATCATTTCTCGTGTGGTTTTACTACACAACAGTGTTACGGTCAGCACACACGAGGGGATTAGTCCCTGCGACTAGTCCCTGCAACAAGTCGCGGGGACAAGTCCCATCTTGTGAACTACAGTTCAAAATCCACATAACTTCGTGGCACAAAGTAGTCTTTTCCGTGGTGTCAGTAGTCCTGCGCAACAGTTTCCGTCCAAGACGCGATCGAGCCAAATGCTGGTCTCTTGGATGGTTCCTCGTGCCAACACCGCAGCATAAGATTATACCTGCAGCCAAAAGAAACATCATCACAGCAAATCGCAAAACAGAAGATTCGAATCTACGATGTGGCTGAAATTGTTTTATTTTTACCATTTAAAAATTGATTTTAAAAAATATCATTGTATAAGGCAAGAAAGCCCAGGGAAGCTAACAGGACTACCTTGAATTTTAAAGATACCTAAGGCTTAACAAAAGAATGAAAATGCTGTCATCAGCACAGAAATTATCGTAATGTAGGATACAATACAGTAAGCAAAGCTAATCGCGGAAATGCTCAAAAGCAAAGAAAGACAAAAACGCGAAAAAAGGCACAGAAAAGTACACTAGGAGAAGTAGAATATACTTATACCAAGAATGATGATTTAAGTTTAGAGGTGAACACAGCATATTACTAGAGGCAGTTTGAGCTTCAGTGCCGAGAGAATTATTGAATGTATACGTTATCTCTTTGTCAAAAATGAATTAAATATTCATACAATTCCGAGCTCGTGGCTGGAGTCCTTGGTAATCTGTGACCACTTGCCACGAAGTTATAAACTTCTTCTCCAGTCATTCTATCGTAAGGTCTTCCACCTGTCAAGGGCAATGAAGTAATTAACTAATAAGTGAACCAATTTGACGTCAAGTTTATTTCAGACATATTCTATTTTGTCCCCTGAAATTGTAAGGGAAAATTAAGACGGAGAGATTTGACATTTTGATTTTCAAATGTTTGCATGTCGTTTAGTTAGGGAGCACCACGAAAAACGCAACCTCGTTTCCATGGTATTTTCCGTTACAGGCCATGGGAACGAGGTTGCGATAAACGATGTATTCTTTCTTTTTCTCTTCTTTCTTCGACGATCGCGCCTTTTTCCAACTATCACCCTGAACACTCTATTATACTTATCAAAGAATTGCATTCCTGTTTTCGGACCTGCCTTTGTTTACCGCAGAAGCTGTTAACTGGACATAGAGTCTGAAAGGGTCCTCTTAAATTTAACACGTATAAGCTTACATTTCAAAACCGCCATTGAACCCCCTCACCACCCCTCCCCCTTAATTGACCGCTCTGGTGGCGTGCCAGGGGTTATTAAAATGCAGACTGTTCTGCTTGATTTTGACCGGAATTTTCGAGAGATTTGATCAAAATGGTCATGATTACTTACCTAAAGTGAAAATCTCATACAAGACAATGCCGTAACTCCAGCTACAAGGTAATTATGAGACGAACACATCAGTGTTGACAGATTTACCAAAACCAAATTCGCAATTGACCAATCACAAGTTGTCTTGCGCAC